GTGAGGGGGTGGGGAGGGTGAATCGTTGGAGGTAGTGGGGGTGGGGCGCACATGGGGAGGGTAAATTGTTGGGGCAGTGAGAGAGGGGTGCAAGTAGGGAGGGTGAATTGTGAGGGCAGGGGTTATAGTGGGAGCAGAAAGAGGCATCAAAGGAAATGCAGAGGGGAATATGTAATGGGGGTCAGCAAGAGGGATGGAAATAGGAAGCAGGGATTCCTGTTACTGAGTCTAGGACCTTACAGAGCCAATGGTCCCTATGTGTAACACTGCCCCTGTTGATAGTTTATTCTGGAACTTAGTTTTCTTTCATTGATTTAGCTGGTTTACAGTATCCAGTATAGTATGCCATCTTGTGTCTACAGCAGGGGTGGGCAGTAGTTTTTAATTTGGGGGGGGGGGGGGGCCCTCTCCAAGATTTTGGTAAATGATCAAGGATTGCCCTTTTCCATTATATTAATGGAGGTGGTGCTGGGTCTGGGATGGTGGTTGGGTGCAGAAGGGAGTTTATGGTAAGGGATTGACCTGTAGGAGAGGGTGTGGGGTCTGGGAGTGAGCTTGGGTGAAAGGCAATTGTGACCTGGGTCAGGGGACTAGGGTGCAGGTGGTTGGGTTGTGCCCTGAGGCAGGGTTTTTAGGTCCAGGATCTAAGAGAGGATATGAGTGCAGGGGTTTGCATTATGTGGGTGGAGGTGGGGGTGTAAGGTTGGCGTGCCAGAGGCAGGCTTTGGCCAGGAGACTGTTGATTCCCAGCCAGCAGCCTTTTCAGGCAGATTCACTGGCTGCAGGGCCATGTGGTTTTTGAACAGGTACAAGCCTGAGAGGAGGGTGCTTTGCAAGCTGCCTGTTGACATTGGCCAGAAACCGGCTAATGGGACTGCTCTGGGCGTGGGAGCAGCACATGAAGCCTCTTTTCCCCTCGCTTAGGGCTCTTAGCTGTTCTTACTGCAGCAGCTGCTTTTCTCAGTGGCGTATGGGGGGCAGGCTGCCTCCCTGAGGCTCCCTGCTGCATCCACAGGCCAGATCTGGTCTGTGGGGTATATTTGCCTAGGCCTGGTCTACAGCATGGTGGCTTTTAAAGCACAGAGGTAAGTGGAGTAGTAACGAAAGTTGACTTGCTGTAACAGGCAATGAGAGAGCTTTATTTTCTATC